TACTCAGCTAGGGAAGAAGAGTTCTAATGGGAAATACTTAGAATTCGTCAGTGCAGCTTCCAATTATGTTATCTGAAGGAGACAAGCTTTCAAAAAGCGTGGTGTTATGGGAGCCTTACTAAAAGCAGTGAGCTTACTTAACTTGAAGGTTTTCTTCAAACTATAATTTCTTACCCACCTTATGGAGTACATATATGATACATGATTTCCATAGATATTTAAGCTCTCCTTTGTTTTCCCACACTTACTTCATGAGTTAGAACTCCTTTTTCCTGCCTTGGGAAGAAACAATTTTAAAATCAGCCACATTTATCTAAGTGTTCTGCCAGAAATTAACCCTAATCTCATGTTTAATACTTTTTAAACCAGGGTGTTGTAACAATTACAGGTGTTTCTAGTTGTATTATTCTTACTATACGCTATGGCCTAAAAAGCCACTGTTACTTGATAATTAGTGTGTTTCAAAGACAGATGGTGTATAAGAACAAAGGGCTATTTTTCCTGCTTTTTAGGAAGGGGGGTATTGCAAGAAGGGTTGCATAGATCTAAGACTCCTACTTGGAAATTCGCAATTTGTCTTACTGAGCACTGATTGCTCTCAAAGCTTTTTCACTTAAACTTTCTCTGCTCCACTTCTGAGGCATTCCTGCAAACTTAATCTAGATTAAGTCCTCCTTCCCAGTGTTGCTGAAAGCACTGAATCATCAAACCCACAGATATGAGATAGGTTTGCAAAGCATTCCTGTAGCCTGGAAATCACACTGCCTTAAGTTCAGTAACAATTTCCTTGTGTGTACCCAGCTGGCATTGAAGTGAATAAAGTTTCACCACTTTGGACCAGCTGAATATGTGATCTTTTGTGCCAGTTAATTACTCTAATTTAAAACATCCTTCGGTATACATCTGGCTAGGCATGTTATTCTCAATTTCTCAAGGTTGATTACATCTTAATAGAAGGAATGCCATTTGGACGTCCGCCTTTCCACTTGCTCATGCAGCTATTTCTCCTCCTCTTCAGCACACCACTATGATAATCATTTGGATGGAAAGCTATCAGTACGAAATTGCCTAAGCATTCCTGTTACAGTATTTTAGGGCAGTTAAATAGGGAGAGGATGGAGAAGCTGCTTCTGAGGGTGGCATCCTGCCTGGTGAATTTTACTATATAGGCATCTAGTCTATATGAATAGATTTTCTGAGTAGTCAGTCTAGAGAAATGGGCACCACCAGACGGGAAGGTGGTGCCCATCCAGGGACAGGTAGCTAGGACAGGTATAATGAAACATCCTGCCGAGAAAGCAGAGGGTGAGTTAGATGGAATGCTTTGGATGGTAAGGTTAGGAGAACTGAGTAAACAGCTAGCTCTTTGTAGAACTGCCAGTGCTCAGAAAGCAAAACTGTAGGTTTTGTCTAAAAGGAAAGGTGTCTGTCTCCATCCATCTGCCTCTTTCATTGTTGGTGCTTCTGCAGATTCCACAACTGAAGTGAGGCAGTCTTCAAACAGCCCCTCTCAGTTGTCATTTGAAAACTTTCCAACACGTTGGCTTGAGAACACTTGCGCTTCTGCTGCTGCTGCAGCACTTTTGGTATCTCAGAAATTGATTTCTTTGGAACAGAAATTGTCAGTCTTTGTAATGTGGTACAAGATTAATTTGACTTATGATTGGAATCACTTTTCCACTAAAAGCAAATGAACTGAACCTGTAACTTCACACACACAAGTCAAATTTTAAACAAAAAGCTCTGTTAACTATTATTTTAACAATTCTTTCCCACTAGCTCCTATTAATTTTCCCAATTCTTTGAAATTCTTGACTACAGACAAAAACATTAACTATTATGAGTGTGAATAACTCTGTTATTTGCTTGCCCAAACTTAGGGGAAACTTAAAAGCTTCATATGGGATCCTGTTTTCCTGGAATTTCCTGACCCATTTCAGACCTTCTAAAGTCTGTATTAGCCTATCTCAAAATTTTCATTCTGTGTTTCAGAGATGGAAGGGTCATTGTTTTAACCTCAGGGTCATTTCTAGTCATCCTTTGCTCATTTCTTGATTTCTTTAATTGAATATTTTTAAAGAAAACTTTTGTAGTTGGTGAGAGTATCTTGACTACAAAAAGTAAAAAATAGTTTTATTATAATTGATGGATTTAGGGCAGGGAATCTAAATATAGCTTACTCTTGTAGTCTTCAAGTTGGGACCTTTGTGACTGACCTGTTAATAAGAAACTGGAGAGCGGAAACTCAAATCCCATGGGAAATTAAAATTGTAGAAGTACTCTATCTATGTTTAATCTGAAAGATATTTCACATATGTAGGGCTAAATACAAATATAGCCGTAATATTTTCTTTCTATAAAACAGGATTAAAAAGGGGCTTAAGAAACATCAAGTTAATAAGGTCTGGGAGCACTTTTGCCCTTTTGTGTGAGTAATGAATTATTTACAGTATGTAGTCTCAGAAGGTTGGCACAAAACTGGATATTCCCAGAGTGGGGAACCAGTAAAAGTCCTTATTTTCTTTGCTGTGCACATATTAGAAGCAAAAAGGATGCTATTGTAGAGAAACTGCATTACCAAAAGCTGGTTGGATTACAGCCTCAGTGCTCTATCAACATACTCACCAGTTCTTGAAGCAGCTGCTGTCCAGCACAAAAAACACCTGCTCGTATCTGAATGACTCCTGTTGGATAGATCTGCACACTTCTGCCCCCAAGAAAACAGCAAAAAGCATTCAAACAAGCAAACTGTCACCTCAGATACATTTCTGGGTTGGGTTATCAGTTTTCTATTGGAATAATTACAAAGGAGTGGCAACAACTGGGAGCAGAGAAGCTCTGAAACAGAGATGCATAGAAACATACATGTTTAGGAAAAAAAAAAAAGATTTAGTCATAAATTTATTCCTGGCTTGCTTGGGGGTGGTTAGGGAACTGTATATCTTAGCTCTTTGTCCAGTGCCATCTGACCAAAACATACAGCAGTAAAAAACTTGCCTTTCTTGGCCAATTTCTTACTTTGTCCATTTGTGACTTTATACAGCCTTAGTTTTCTTCCTTCTTCATTTGGATTCTCTAGCCTCTCTCATTTAGTACAAGTTCTCCACAGCTGCGACTGGAGGAAGAGAAATACCCACTTCTATCCAGGTAACATAAATAATGGGAGTAAAACTAACAGGATTTAACAGGATTAACAGGATTGCACAAGAGAAGTTGCTGAATCTTTTCTCCGTTTTTCTACCAAAAATTGCTTAACTTCAGGGGCAGTAAGTTTTAAAGCATGGGCAACAGACATGCAAGTAGCTAATCAGTCCCTAGTCAGTGATCAGCAGCATCACTGGAGAGCTCAAGGCTGGGTTTGAGAGGGAACAAGCTTTGCTACCTCACAGGACACTCTGTGTGTTACTTCCATTCCCAGTCCTCAGCATGTATGTCTCCCTTCCATTTGGCTAAAAATAAATCAATAAACATGCTTTCCCCAAAGAGTGGTGAACCAATAAAACTTGTGATTTCATAGAGTGTACTGGGATTGACTGAAGGGCCAAAGAAGGGTTCTGTAGAAGTGTACTCAGTTTGAAGAGCTTTAGTAAAGCTACTAAACAGAAAATTGGTTCTGTTTTACCTCAAGCCAGAGCAGGCCTCTCATAGCTGGAATCTTTTTCTGTCAGCAAAGTCATCACTGGATATTCTCCTCTTAACATTCATGCCCAGCTGCATACTTGCCTGAAGCAATTTTCTCAAACGTGTACAAAAGTAAAATTCAGTAGCTTTTTTGCATTGAATTTCACCTATGCACATACTGTCTCAAAAAAAAGGAATTAAGTAGAGCAGTGTACGCTCTCTTCTAACCTCCAAAATGGAGTTTGATATTGTGACTTGAAGTAGGTCAGACTTTTTTAAAATTCATGTTCAGTTTGTTGTTCATTTCAACCTTCTTGGTTTAACTGGAATCAGTTGCCTGAGGAATTTTTGGAGTCTCCAATACTGGAGGTCTTTAAGGTCAGGTTAGGCAAACAACTGTCAGAAGTGGTACTGATGCGGCACAGAAATATGGATGGAAGAGAAGGTGCATTAAGGTCCTTTCCTGTCTCATTTCTGTACTACTAATTAGAAAAAAATTATGGTATTTTGCTAAAAGGTAGCCTGATTCCGCTGTCATGCAGAGGTCAATTTGGAATAATTTGGCAGAGCCAAATGCAGTACAGCAGATCAGAAGGGGGATTTTTGAAGGGAAAGAGTTTTAAAAAGAAAAGTTTAAGAAGGGAAGTGAGACTGTAGCAGAACCTGGGTTCTGTGCTACCAAACGCAATTGTCTCGTTCAGACTGTGAGTCTGTGAGTACTGGTGTGGGACTGAGATCATTAGCTCATGTCAGTGACACTTCATAGAAGTTAATGGATGCAATATATCTCAGTAATTTCTTTCACCTTTTCCATCTCCCTTGGCCATTTTCCCTTGAAGCAGTCACTTCCCTGAATGGGGGCTCTATTCAACTTAATACATAGTGTAAACAGGAAATACCAAGTCTCGCCCCAAGTTTAGAGCGTTTCTAATGCTTTCACAATGTTAAGAAACAGATTTTGAGCTCGCTTTGCTATGCTAACTTTATGGCATATATTCTTTGATGACCAGGGAGTAATGCTGGTGTAAATGGTGTAACAAGAACCACAGCTTGTGCACAACTGTAGATCTTTTAAGATACGTGGTAATCTGGGTGAAGCAGGGGAAGTTCAGGTAGCTCTGTATAACTTTGTTCCAGTACATTAAGCAATACTGGCACAGTCAGTGTAGGCTTTTTCTGCTGAGCTGCTGTCCAAAGGACCAGAGTGCCTGTCTAAGTCTAGGGTTGCTAGAAACCACTACAATCTTGCATTGTGTGTAATGTAAACTTCCTTATGTATTGCCAGCTGGAAGCATAGGATATTTTTATCTAAAGCTTGCTGAGGTGAAAAGTGGACTCAAAATAACTATTCCTAAGTTGCTCACGGATAGGAGCTATTGTTCCAGAATGAGACAACTTTATTCTGAGTATCTAATCTGCTCTCAGTTCATTTCACATGAAACACTTGCAAGTGCTCCCACATGGGAAGATTATCAAGACTCGGTACTGACCTTTGAATTCACAACCTGCTATCTTCCAAATTAATTTCCATGTGTAGATAAATCCTTATAACTGGACACCACCACAAATGGTATATTGGGGGCTTTTTGTTAGCATGTTATTCCACAGATGCAATTTGAGAAAGAACTTTCGATACTGCCACAAGAATGAGTTTTTGTGCTACTTGTACTTCAACTGAAATTTGCAGTTGTCAGTTGACAAGTTCTCAGTATGTTGGCCGGCCAGCAGAGCATCAGTGCCTGAACTTAGCATGTCTGTTTTATTATGCTCCTATTGCAGTAGTGCTTGGTCTCTTCTGAACGTAGCAGTACTGGTCCAGGCATCCAGGGCTTTCTATCCCAGATGACCTGGAGGTTGCAAGAGATCCTAATTAAGCTGTTGCTGAGAGCTGCAAGGATGCTATCAAACTGAAATCTGCCAAAGGTGTGGATACAGCTGATACATACATAGCTTATTGACAACTTGAGTGGATGTAGCAGAAAAGATAAGGAGGCTTATGAGTGGATTAGATCTTTGTTGCAGAACCTATATGACCTAAACAGCAAAGCCATAGAATGCTTTTGTGCTGTTTCTGTATATGCACCTGCCTCACTGTCCCGCCCCCCAAAACCACAGTGTGCCCCTCTCTCTGCCCCTAACTCTGTTATGTTAAAAAGTGAAGTTTGAAGAGGTTAATAAGGTGTCAGTTGCTAGAAAAAAAATGGCAAATGTCTGAGTATTGTACGATTCCTACCTTCTTCACTTTAGATGTGGTCTGGGCCTGCCTTTTTAGATACTAACTGCACATTGCATGGGTGCTTCCCTTGTGCTTATCATGCTACTGGTGCAGTGATTCAGAAATGTTAATGACAGTCTTCCTCACAGCTTGCAGCAGTACTGCCCTCTTGTACAACCTAGGAACTGAAGCATAAAGAAAATATTTTAAAATTTATTGATTTCAGGCCTTTGATTTTTAGAAAATAACGTTCCCCACTTCTTTTCTTCCACTTACCCTCTGTTGCTCACTGCTATTTTGTTTTTCAAACAGGATGTTTTTTCCCTTGTTCCACATGACTGGGAAAGAATTTTCTTGCTCTCAGCTCTAGTGGCAGGGAAGCCTTCAGTGTTCACAAAGTATACTAATCAGATTTAGGGGAAATTTGTAGATTTGAGTGAATTAAAATCACAGAATTGTAGTCAAGCTAAACATGTTTCCAAGGAGGTATACTTCTCATACGGTTGTTCTGACAATAAAGCAAGGATTCCAATTTAATAATAAATCAACAGCTGATAAAAGGAGGAGATACGCTCATTCAGGCATATTGCCTTTATTTTCTGTTGTTCTTCTAAACTAGGATCGCAGACTGTTGCTTCCTATATCACTGTGTACTGAAAGTTTAATTTTTAGTCAAAAATCTAAATCAACATGGAAGTTTTTAAGGAACAGACAATGCTTGCACTAGTAATGTAGGGCAGGCAAGTACTGTCCACCGAAGCTAAAAATCAAATGCACACAGATCCCTCCAGATCATTTCAGAGCACCATAATTCTCAGACTAATGAAATAACAGTTCATAGTTGAGCAAGAAGAACAGTTTCTGAGCATTGACTATCAATAGAGCATAACTAATGTGTTTTTACCTTGGAAGCCCCTGTGTGCACTAATTGGAGAGCTTTCGTTGAAACTGTGCCTAATTTGAAATCTGTGGTGTTAACTCCTTCGTCACTATTCTGACTTCTCATCTAATTGTCAGATTTAAAGGGAGTAACGTAGTAAGTTTCTACAGTGCTGGAATGAGTATATTTGTTTTTGGAGATACTGCACGTAACTAGTGATGGGAAGACAATAACAAAGGACACCAAATTAATAGTCTCAGATTCAAAAGTATTTATGTTTCAGACTAAGCTGAACACCATAGTAAATACAAACCCAACTTTGAAATGGGAGGGTATAGAGAAGACAGTCAAGACTGTTCTTGGCCATGTACAGTGAAAGGATGAGATGCACAAGTTGTGCCAAGAGAAATTCTATTAGTCATTAGGAAGAAATTTTTAAACTTGCATTGCAGCAGGGGCTCAGAGAAGTTGTCAAATATCCAGCAAAACATGTCTGGGCAAGTTCCTAAGTAACCTTGTCTAATTTGGCCCTGCTTCAGAGGCAGGGGTTAAACAACATGCCCTTCAGAGGTCTCCTCTGACATTGTGATTCTAGAATATACAATAGTAACATACTTAAGATTTACATCTAGAGTCCAAAGTAAGTTTGAGAGGAGAAACTGAAATTTAGTAACTGTTCCTAAGGCTTTTTGTAGAAACTTAAAATACAAATAATTCAGAATATATTGTTATCAAACAGAAATGCTTCAGATCCATATTGACATAAATGAGGCAAGAATCAACCTTTCAGCTGTTAAATAGTATAAAATCTTTTTTCTTTACTTTTAGCTTACCTTCAATCTAATCAGGTCATGGGCTGGGGAGAGAAGGCGATCGAACTACGCTCTGTGGAAACAGGAAATCTGGAAGGAGTATTTATGCACAAGAAAGCACAGAAGCTAAAATTTCTATGTGAAAGAAATGACAAGGTAAAGAGATGACTACAGTGTGTTGATTAAGCAAAAATGAGTAATAGTTGACTATGACAGCAGGACCATTTAATTTTTCTAACTTTGTTTTTACATTGATTATTTCTTACTTTAGTATAACTTCCCCATTCAAAGCAAATACAGTCCCAGACCCCACAAAGCACTCACTAAGGCTATTCCACACTTTCACACCACTCCACTTTAGCCAGCTCTATTCTAACTCCTGTTCCACCCAGCCTTAAGTGATACCAGAGGTGGTAACAAGTACAGACACTGCTAACTGGCCAGACTCCAGCACAACAGGTGTAGTGGGGAGGGTTAGTGAGCCAGCCCTGATAATGCCCAACTACAGGACTGCCTCCCCTGGGCTACTGAAACTGCAGGAGATTCAGAGCAGCCACCATGGAAAAAAAAACCCCAGTGTTCTAATATTTGAGATATTGCAGGCACTAGAGTACGGATAACCAAGCATGACTTCTTGCGTATCGCAGTTCTTTATAAATGTTGTGTGTAACCTGCTTAGTCCCACAAACATATTTAGAAAAATTGTTTAGATTAATTATTTTTAAATTATCTCTTTTGATTTTCTAAACAGGAAAAAATATATACAAAAATATATCCCAGTTGTACCACAAGCACAGTTTCATTTTAAAAAGTTTCTCATGGGATATCAAATGGATATATGTGATATACATATCCTTATATTTGGGATTGTGGCATTCTCTCAGATTTTCTGTGTTGGTAAAAATATTGTCATAAATGTAAACTGACAGTAGCATATCTTCTTTTTTTTTTTTTTTTTTCTCTCCCTTTGAAGGTGTTCTTTGCATCCGTACAGTCAGGAGGCAGCAGTCAAATATACTTTATGACTCTTGGTCAAAATGTACTATTCAACTGGTAAATCGCATCAAAATGAAGGATGCTTTGAAATTCCCTGTAGGTAGCAGTGCAAAATGCTTGGAGGTAATATACACAAATGTGCACTTTTTACCTGCAAAAAAATTGTTATAACTTATCAAAATTCATATTCTTTCAGTTTGGAAAGAATTCCATTTTCCTGTCAAAGTATTGCAAACATGTTTAGTTTGTCTTCTAAAATATGTTGCAAACCAAGATTGTACTCACAGTGTTAGGAGAGAACAACTTGAAAGAAGAATGTAGCCAATATAAGAAGCTCATGTACTCTGAAAGGTGTACGGTTTCATTTTCACAGATGATGTAATGTTATCTTGAACTGAAGTCTCTTTCTCTTTTGGACAGCAATATCTGTAAGTAGATATAAAAATACAAACAAGTTGAGCGGCAAAACTACTTTGAATTGGATTTTGACTTGTTTTGCATTTTAAGCAAGCTGTTACTGTTTCACCAAGACTCACTTGTCAGAGTCTTACAATCAGTGAAAGAGCAACTGTTGATGATGGGGCCTTACACAGATTGGGATGCTCGGGGGCTCGTACCCTGTGTCGGACAGGGGCATTTCACTGAAGAGCTGTAAAAGCAGCTGCTTCTAGACATGTGCCCCATCTGGAAGATTTTACAAAATGCAGGGGACAGACTTCACGTTTCTCTCAGGGCTGGATGCCTGAGCCCATAGACACAGTTACTGTAGAATGTATTTGTAAAAATAGATTAAATAGTAGTTTGTCAAAATCATATATGCATAAAGCATTATGGACCTGAACCTGTAATTTCAAAGACAGGACCCACACTCATGAGAGTTGATTTAAAGGCACTAACCATGTATATAAGGGCACAGGATGAGGCACCTTCATTTCTTCCCTTGTTGCTCTTTCAGCATAAAGTCGTCATGTATTTGTGTGTAAATATAATCTTTCCACAATGGATGTTAAGATTAACAAATGTATTCTTAATATAGTTATCAAAATATCCAAAGAGTTAATCTATTATAAATAGAAAATATAAATAATTTCAGGTGCTTTCTATGCTAATTACATCTAAATAAAGCTGCATCCACTAGTGTTATTGGTGCCAGTGTTTCTGCATAAACTCTGTTCTCAGGGGCTTGTAACTTGGCCATAAAACTATACAGATATAATATATACACTATATATAATCATATACTATGATTAAATTGTAGGGTTTAATGCAATCCTCATTTAGCTCATTTTGGATGTGCTTTGAAAATGTAAAGCATAAAATGTAATACAAAAGAGCTCATTCCAGACATGATGCAGTATGGACAACGCTGTAGATAAAAGTGAAATTGCTAGCTACAGTGTTTGAAAATAGGTATTTTTTACTTGAAATATGTGATACTGAAAGGTGCAGGGAAAGTGTGTTGGAATATCTGGTCGTCTACCTCAAGGATGATGATTCAAAGTTGACTAAGAAGGGGAGAAATAAAGTTGTTAAAGCTGGTAGCTGTTTAGTACAGTATGTCAGGTTAAGTTAGTGTTAGCAGTCACACTGTGACTGACAGGAGCTCAGATTGCAACCATCAGCTCCAGAACAGGTATCCCTGTATGTGTCAGCAGAGAATCAAATTAGGGGCGGATCCCCCTTCCCCGTGTTGGCATCTCCACTGCTGCAGGCAGATCAGAGATGCCCACACTGTTGCTGTCTCTATGTGGAGGACTGCACTTTCCAAAGTTACTAACCTAGCACTTTTCACAAGCACTAGTTTATCTCAAAATGTGTAGTGTTTTTTTATGAAGTATTTTCCTTTTAAATGTTTTAACTTACAGAAAAATAAGCCTAAGGCCATACTAAAAAAATATGTGCAGTTAAATACTCAAAGTGGTTCTTAATGTATGCAAGTAATCAGCTTGTGTGCAGACTTAAAATCTGAATAGTATATTGTCCACTCCTTGGGCAGAGCTGTGTAAAAACAGGAGGTCTCTGTCTATTTGTGATAACGTTCCTACCTGTTGCCAAGGTTAGCACTGGGGCAGATGAGCAAAACGTGGCTTGGCTCTCATGCTACTGAACACTGGGCTTGTTTCGTTCAACTTGCAACAAAAAAAACCCCTCCGAAAACTAAACAAACCCAAACCTGTAACAGAAACAGAGATGAAAGTTACAATTACAGGCAAAAAATAATTTGCAGACAATCAGAAATACAACTTCTCTTGCTTTTGATTTAAAATAAAAAGTCTAAGAGACTGTGAAGAAAGAACAGCTTTCATTTTTGTACCCAGTAGGTGTGCAAAACGTGCTTGCAAAACTGCTTGTGCTATAAGCAATCACTGATCTAGGCTGCTCTGTAATATTTTTTAAAGTGTGCTTATCTCAGCAGCCTCTGCATTATATGAGATACATGTGAATTTTTTCCCCTCTCCCATTTTGGTGTCAACAGGTAGGAAGAAATTTTTCCTGATGCTAGGCACTAGTTAAAAAGAATTTAGCAGAGAACAGTGGGAATTTAGAGCAACCCATATCAACAGATTAAAGAAGTGGATGTGATCAAATTTGTTTGATATTATTGTAATGGAAAAGCGTGACTGTAAGTTGACACACTGTAAAGATATTTAGGTCCATACCAAGAGGGGGGAAAAGAAAGTGCAAGTTCAAGAGAGGGAATGCGTGCTATTACATTGAGATTTTACTTTTTCATTCTGTTTCCTTCTATTAGCTCTTTCCTTTCCAGTTATGATTCAAGGCAGTAGGTTGGATTTTCATCTGTTACTTTGCATGTAAAACCATTGGAATTATTGGGGTTACATCCACGTGTAAATATGAAAGAATGAGGCCCTTAGAGACGAATGCTTTTGAAGGATTTAGAAGCAGTATTGCAAGTAGCAATAGCAATTGGATGCAACAAGGAGAAGA